CCATATGATTTTACATATAAAGCCCTGTCGAGTTGTACAACTGTTTCTTCTTGAATGTTGGTTAAAGCAAGCAGTGATGACTACTTCTCCACATATAGATTTACGTGTTTACTTTGCTCTGGATATTGCAGCTATTGGTCTTTAAGAAAGTTAACAGATTCATGTGCACATGCAAGTGCTTATCTGGGGTTGATAGTAGGACACACCATATTAAAAACGAAAGGCTTAATTCCTGTGTTGAAAATAAAGGAAGTGACTCTTCACAAAGCCTCTTCTGAGACATTTCAAGTTCCTTTGCTGTCTCTGAGATGTGGCAAGTCCTTTTGTAACCTCAAATAGCTTGCCCAAGCACCTAGGGATCATCTCTTTGATATGTAATCATAACTGGAAAAAAAAAAAGCTCCTTTGCCTCACTCCTTCTGTGGCTAATTAATTAACTTTGGTAAGCATCTTTTACAAGATACAAAATTTACTTGCCATGACAATATGAGGTTGAGTGATGGTTTTGGCACCGGGTATTTCAAATGCTGATTACTGTACCCAGAGATCTAGTTGCAGTCTGGACATTGGCATCGTCATGGCTACTGGATCATCTTCTGAATCAATGATATGTACAGATTGTTTCCCATCACCTCTGATTAGTTACTAAAGTGCTTATCTGCCAGGATCTGGGCAGTAGAAAGAATAGGGCAGGATTTTCCATCCCAGTGAGTGGGTCCCGGCTGGTGGGGAGGGGGGTAAGGGAGGAGAAGGTGAAGGAGATAGAGGAGGACAAGGAGGATGAGGATGAAGAAAAGGAGAAGGAGGATGAGAGGAGGAGAATGACCAGAAGAATCAGAAAGACCATAAGGTCACAATGAGAGAGAAGCTATGAGGATATGAGGACACACATGGACCAGAGCTGTAGCTGAACTGGGTTCACCTGAAAGGGAGGCTGGAAATGTAAAGGGGGGGGGCAGGGGAGACAAGAGAAGCATGATGCCAAAGTTTAATATTCAGCACTTTGCATATATGGGAGAAGCCCACTGTTTCCGCTGAATTGTGCTGCAAAGCAAGCTCAGCGGGTGGTCTACTCTTCTACATTCCTGTAGGAAGTTGTGTGCCAATGACTCCACTTGCCCTTAAGGTCCAGTGGTAGACAGGTCTATTCAGCCTGTTCAGGGCTGGGAAGGGCACACAGAGAGAGCCAGATTCAGATGGCAGATATTGGGGCATATGGGTGGGAAGTAATTCAGGCCAACATAACAAGGTTAGAGTGAAACACTCTCAGATAGGGGAGACCCCCACTCAAGCCACAGGAGATTACGTCCACCCAGAATCACGCAAGAGACCGAACTTGCTGCTAACCGCAAAAGGCTTTATTTAGGGATATCAGCTGGCTGAGGCTAGACTCACAAGAGGAGCATCGACCCAAAGGCTCAGGAGCAAGGGGTATTTAAAGAAGAAAACCACAGACTAGGGGGGTGAAGGGGGAAACCAAGAGGGAACAGTGGAAAATCCCAACCCACATCATAAAAATAGTAGAAAATTCTTAACTCATTATTTAGCTGGTCATAAACCGGGGTGGGTAGTGGGAAACATCCTATACACATTTTATTCAGGAATGTGACCTTAACCTGACCATTTCTTGTGGTCAGCTCCTTCCTGGAGTGACTTAGCCAACCTGTATTGTTAGTTCTACTATTCTTTGTCGGAAAGACCTGGCTGACCTGCCCCCTGGCTAGTTCTTTCTTTGGGTGGCCAGCTAGTTCCTGGAACCTAGGCCTGTGAACTTGCTAATTCAGACGTGGGGGGGTGTCTCAAACTTCTCTATGAATTTTTACATCCTTTCAAGAGTAGCCCAGAACCTGCCCATCTAAGAGCTTACAGCTTGTTAATAAATATACCAGCTCTTCTATGTCATTTATTTGAGAACATGAGGGGTATAGAAAATCCCCCCAATCACTTTTACAATCTGACTTCATTTATCCTCTTTCAGATAAAACTGGCTAATAGAGCTGATCCTCCCAGTTACCAGATAGACTTGGAATGAACTGTTTGACAAATAATGTCGATTTGTCTTGATGCTAGATTAATTATGTTTCATTTTTTAAGGAACTGTACAAATACATGCTATGTACTTCACTATATGAGAGAGTGAGGTTTCTTTCAGTTTTTTTTTTTCAGTTTCTGGTGGATTATTTGAAATATGTATATTGTTTTTGATAATACTTATTTGAAACTAAAAGTTTTCTCTTTTCAATTATACTTCACTAACAATAAGTATTTCACTTCCTAGCAGAACCGTTACTTAGTATATAAACTGAGCAAAAGTTTTGGAAGAAAACTTCCCAGTATCTACTAAAAATAAATGTAATGTAACAGCTAGGATGACTTTATATTTTTTCATTGATCACAACATTAAGGAAATAATTTTAAAATGTAACCAAATTGCACACCTTTTATTAATCTGGTAACAAGTTACTTTGTTTCCTGATTATCAATTTTTGCATGTGTATGTAGTATCCATTCATGGATATATGAGTGTTCATGTATGTAAGGGTACATGTTTACATGCAGCTGCACACACACATGTCTGTACTACATTCGGAAACCAGAAGCTCAAATCAGTTTTCTTCTCAATTGCTCTCTAATTTACTTATTGAACCAGGATCTCTTCTTGAGTCTGGAACTTTCCAAGTCTGGTTAGACTGGCTAACCAGCTGGTCCTGGGATTCCCTGTCTTTGCATTTTGAGAACTAGCATTATGAATTCTGGGATCTAAATTCTGGTCATTATGTTACAAATGCATTGTTTACCAAGTCATCTTCCCAGATTTATTTTTCAAATAAATTGTGTGTGTATGTGTATGTGTGTGTGTGTGTGTGTGTGTGTGTGTGTGTGTGTGAGAGAGAGAGAGAGAGAGAGAGAGAGAGAGAGAGAGAGAGAGAGAGAGAAAGAAAGAAAGAGAAGGTTTATAGAATATAATTGGTATATGTGGACATATGTTGCATAGTGTTTTCCTCTGAGACAAAACGTTTTATGTTGAAGGAAAACTCCTTAAGACATAGGATGTTCTAAGACAAAGAGAAGCTCATTAACATAAAGAATTTTCTAAAGGGAAGAGAAACACTCTATCTTAAGGAGAAGCTGGCTAAGCTCTACAAGCAAACTATATGTGTGTATGTGTCTGTGTGTGTGTATCTGAGAGACACTCTTACGAAAGCCACACTGTGTGGAAGCACAGACACCAACCTGAGTTGCCTGAAAGAAGGAAAAACCAGTCAAGTTGCCTGGAAGAGGCCCAGACCACCTGAACTGGCTAAAAGAGATACCGTCTAACTGTCTAACTTACTGAGCTGCTGCAGGCTTTACTGACATCTGAGTTGACAGGTTCTTGAACCATCACCTGTGCTTGGGTGGGCTTTTAGTGTTCTTTAAGTCATTTATATTCCTGTAGTCACTCCTAATCCATGCTTTTATAAATAACTCCAATAAACTTGTTGGTTAACAAAGTTGGACTTTGGTAGAATTCTTAATTTTTGTCGTACTGTTTCCTTATAGGAAGAGAAGAGATATTTTCACAGATCTTCCCAAAATTTCACACAGTGAGTAGCATGAGGCTTGTGCTCCTTTTTTTTTTTCTTTTTTAAGTCAGTTGCTTTTCTTCCGAGCCCGTTTCCAGAATGACAACTCTGTGAATAATTATTAATAAATGTCTTGGATACATGCTTTGGCTTATTTCCTGACCAACTTGTAACTAATTTAAACCATAACTCTCCTTCAGTTCTGACCTGCTTCTTCCTTAGCATCCACCATAGGCTTTTTTATTGATGTAAGAGATACTTTCTATATGCTCCCAGAAGTCAGAGAAAGATATTAGGTGGCCTTCTACATCAGGGTGCACCCCCTTATTCCTCTGAGATAGTCTCTCATTTATCTTGAGGTAGTTGACATCCAGTAAGTCTTAGGATGTTCCTGTATCTGCATGACTCTGGGATTATAGGGTTCCCCTCCCCCATCAGACTTCTTCCCATAGCCAGCTATTTATGTGGGTGCTTGGAAGCAAACACAAGCTGATGCTAGCACAGAAAGTGCTCTTACTCACTGAGCACCTCTCCAGTCTCTGCTTACAAGTCTTTGACACGACTTACCTCTTGTGCAAAAAGTGACGGTTTGGGGGCCGAGGAGATATCTGAGTAAATAAAAATGCTTATCTGAAACCATGACGACCTAGGAGCTAGCTAATCCTAGGCAAAAGCTGGGCACGGCCAAAGGAGTTTTAGAGCTTCCACTTAAGGGAGAAACCCTGTATCAAGATTGTGGGGCAGAAAATGATACAGCCGGTCACCTAATATCCTCCTCTGGTTTACTTGCATTAATGCACATGGGTTCGGTAGTGCACAGACACACATAACACATACATACATGCTAGTTTTGAACTCTTTGCCCATTTTTATTGTTTGTTATTATTATCCTGCTCTTTAATTCATTCCTAATCAAATAGGTTGCAAATAGTTTGTTTGTGGCTTGGTGGAATTCTGTCTATATTGTCTTTATTTATATGCTTAGTCTATCAAATGTATTCTTTCATTTTTAGCTCTCAGCACTTGAGAATGCTATTTCCTTAGCATTGTGTTTTCCCCTAGAAGTCCTGTAGGGCTTTTTGTAGATTGATTTCTTTTTTGCATATTTAGGCTAATTTCAATATTATATGGGTAAGAAGTCAGAAAGAACTATGATGTACTTTACCTCTCTAATCAGTGCTAGTATGACTCTTAAGTGTCCACTGACTTCAGTAAACGAAAAGCAATATTTATATTGCTAGTTCATTGCCTAAAGTATCTTGACTTTATATTAATGATTTACACACAGAAATAGAGTACTATATTTTAATAGTGTCTTGAGCACACTTTAGGTATCAGAGCACTCTTCAGTATACTAATTAGCATGGAACGTTTCAAAATAGATGTTGGATTTCCATAAAAAAGTTATTTCCAAGAAACCATGCAAGTCTGAAGTGAGGTTTGAGAAATTTTATTAAGGAATTTAAATGTTCCTTAGACGTACTGAAATAAATGAAACTACACATTGGAAAGTCATAGTGTTACACATTGATCACTTTTAGAAACATTTTGGGGTTTCAGGACCTGCACATAGATGACAGGAAAATTGGCAACATTTTGATGTCTAAGACCAATATAGGTAGTGATAACACACACACACACACACACACACACACACACACAACCTTTTAACTGGTTAATTTACACCAGTATCTGAACTAGGGTGTATGTTTAAATGTATAACTGCTTTTAAAAGTGAATGAGGGAACAAAGAGTGCTTTTCTTTCATTTAGTACCTTTTATATGATTTACCCTCAATTACAATTTTGTGTTCAAGTTACAAACAGAAGAGGTTAAGATTAAGGCAAAAGATGAACATTTTTCTCTCTGAAGTGTCAACAGTACAAAGCATGAACCACGCTACTTGACATAGCAGAAATTGGTTTTACCAGAAACTGTCCTGAATGATTACTGGGAGTTGACACACATTGTAAAGATGGAAAAATTGAGTATACTAATTCTCCTTTGGAGACCATCGCTAAATGAGCTCACAGGTGATAGGTTACTTGTAAACCCAAATCCCTTTGCACACAAGAGCTTCCGAGTGACTGTACTAACTTTCAATAGTAATTGAGGATGGACTCAGTGTTTCCAACATCTGGGGTGATAACATCCAAAACATTCTTCACAGGATCTGAGATATCAGACACATTACAAAGCTGTATTTTATGCTTGGGTTATATAGATTTCTTAGAAAGAAGATTTAATAAATGACAAAACCATAGGGATCATATTATATTATACACTTTAATCAAGCCCTGATATTCCATTCCTTCACTTCAGAAAATCTGGCTTTATGATCACATAGCCAGTGGGTTAAGATAACTTCTTTGCTTAAATATATAGCATATAGCCACACTTATGTTGCTAGGTGAGGCTTAAGTTTAATGAAAAGAGAGTCTGTGAGTCCTTCTTTATCTTGTTATTAGTGGCTGCATTCTCACCTACCTTGTCACCATGATTCAGGAGACAAGTATGTCCAGTATTTTATGCTGTTGTTAGCTTTAAGCTATGATACAAATGTTCTTTAAATTTCCTTTAAGAAGCTGAACTTTTGCATAATATAAGCCCCTTATAAATAAAAAATCAAGGTGCTGGAGAGATGACCCAGTGATTAAAAATACTTGTTGCTCTTGCAGAGGTTGTGAGTCTGGCTCCCATGATCAGTATGGTGGGCCACAACCATCTGTAACGCCAGTTCTAGAGAATCTAATGCCCTCTTCTGATCTCCACAGGCACTAGGTACATACACGACACATAGGAGCAGATGAAGATAAAAGCACATGCATAAAGTAACTAAATCTAAAATTCAACAGAAAACATTTTTTTATTTATTTTTTGGAGAAACCCTTTTGTGTAGCACAGGCAGTCCTTGAGCTTCCTGTGTAGCCAAGATATGCCATGGACTCCTACCCTTTGCCTCTGTCTCCTGCATGAGAACCAAAAGTACCTTCCTAGATCTATTCATTCAATACACAGGCTTAGGTTAAAATATTTATTCCTTTCTTTCGCTGACTTAAGGGCAATACAATATATTGGATCTTCCTAGGTGTCCTAGGCCTTATACAACCAGTATCCAAAACCATAGACAAAACTATACATGGCCTACTTTCTTTCAGGTTTCACACTACAGAAAATTGGATGTAATTGCGTATGCTTTGAAAAAGAATTCTCCTTCTGACCATTATTACCATGACAGATCTGGAAAGACAAGTTCCTCTTAGTACCACTGTATTTTCAATGTGGCTCTAGGCTATAAACACAGAATACAGGGAAGAGGAGAAAAATGTTCCTTTATACTGTTTCCAAGTGGTAGTGGCAGCTACCCCTAGAGAGGATCCAGAGGGAGACACCCATAAAACAGGTATGGTACTAACCTTTCTTTGATCTCAGAACTGGAGTTCCAGAGTCTCTCACATTCTAGGTAAGCATTTTATAGAAACGAGCTCCATCGCCAGCTCAGTATGTCTTGACTAATTAAAGAAGGGGTTCTTAAGGTGATTGATTCAGAGTGACTTCCTTACACAACAGCTCTGCGTTCTAGAATCACGTTATTTAAGGATGAAGGTTTTACATGACGCATGTACAAAGTTTTGACTGGGATATAACTGTGTGGGACCTTCAAATCTTTGTGGCTAACATCTTTTAAAAAACTGTGCTTAGGTGAGGTTGTATACAGGAACAAAGTCACTCAAAATGTCAGGATCACCATGGGGAGGGAAGTTTTTCTAATCCCTTACCTAGTATTCACACTAAAAGCTAACCCTTGAAATTCATATACAAAAATATTTCAAAGGCTGTAAACATTAGTCTGCATCTGGCAGTACAAAAAGAGCCGGAGGAAGACTGGTGAAATCACAGGGCCTCTCGTGGAACAGTTCTCCACAGATCTCCAGCTTCAGGTGGGCAGTTCCTGTGCAGATGGATGGTAAAGTGCTCCTGAGGGAGATTCACAGGAGATGATGGTACCCAGCATTGGGTAGGGGCATCCTCAGACTCACGCAGGACCAAGGAGACAGAATACGGGGCACAGAGGCACATCAGCAGCACTGGGACCTGGGCTTTGTTATAACGGGCTCCTCCACCAGTTTGATTTTGTCCATGTCGATTTCATCGCAAGGAATACTTTGCTGGTTTGAAAGCATGTTTTCCACTAGGAAGCGGGTTGCCTCATCGATGTTTATATTATCCTGGAGTGGAAGCACAGAAAAGGAGGATTAGCACTGGCCTTGGAAGTAAATGTTCAGTGAAGGGGCCTAGGGAGTCACACCAAAGGACACACTGTAAGCAAGTCAATTACCTCTTCTTCAGTGCTAGTGTCTGTTTCACGAAGAACTCAAGACACTGGTTTAATTGTTTCGCTAAGTATTATTTGAAAGTTTCACACATGTACAGAATAAATTTTAGTCATTTTTCAATTCCGTGATTCTCTCTCATACCCCTTCTTTTCCCCCTGGAAAGCCCCTTCATCCCATGAAGCCTCTCCTCCTATTTTTCAAGTCTGTGTGTGTGTGTGTGATTCACTGAGTTAATTAGAGTTGTTATGCCAGCTTGAGTGGGAGGTTACTTAATGAGACACAGGAAAGGTTTTAGTGGTTACAACACTTTTGTGACTCCAAGTGACATCTTGGAGAACACTGAGGAGAGAATAGCCTTTGGCCCGGGGGCTTTTTGATAGTTTTGATTAACTTTTGATTAACTTCAAGTTTCACATTCTTAGTGGGACTGGGACGGCCTCCCATGTGTGCAGCGTGCGGGTGACACCTGGATTCAGGTCATTGCTCCCAGGCAGCTTCTTGTTGAGAAGTTACAAGTCACCCTTTGGACTTGGTGAATACAAATAGATAAATTGCCTGTTTTGTATACACCTTGCCTGCTAACTTTAGTACCTATTAACTATCCTCTAAGCAATTATCACTGTGATACTAGAAACCGTCTTTTCATTTATACCAGTACTGCTGTGTTTACTAGTTAGGACTCTACAGTGAGGAAAATGTATGTATCATTAGTCTGGGCACATCACAGACTGTTATCAATTACACCCATTAAACCTAATGCAGTAATTCTTCACTTTGTGATTGTCCTATAATTTTGTAGACTCTACAAGCAGTCACCCATGCTTTGTGGTATGTTCACACTGGTTTTTTTTTAATGCTTTCCTTCTTGCAGGCAACGTAGACTATTTCAAGGATATCTTCACTTTCTATTCCTATCAGCTGTGGGATCATGTCTTTCTGACTGTATCTTCATTCTGCTTGTTTAAAAAATTGTATTTACAAACTGGATTGTAAGTAGTAGGAATGTTCATTCTTTTTATGGTTTGATTGCTTCCTGTCCTCTTGGCTGAGAAAGCTACTAAATATAAGTATACACACACACATACACACACATTATATACATATATATACGTATACATGTATATATATACATATATACATATATATACATATATACACATGTATAATATATACATACACACATATATAATATATATACACTATATATGTATATATATATATATATACACACACACACATACTCCTCACCTACTTATTTTAAATATATTTATAAATATACATGAAAATAAATGCACATATGAACACACAGATTTTTAAGTATAAAGCTATTTACATTAATGCTTCCAACCAAGTCCAACACTGTGAAGTGCCTTGTTCCCTGCTCCTGCACTTGTGGAAACTTTCTCTGACAGTGGGACCGTTTACTTAGGAGTGATGCTCCTATCAGGTTGCTTTCACAGTACTGACTGCTTTGACACTCCCAAGATAACCTTAACATAAGCAAGAGTCTTCGAATGTCCGAGCATCTTTAAGTTCTTGGCATTCCCTCTCCTCATTAGTTACTTTTTTGTTGCTGTGAAAACAACCATCATGACCAAGGCAGCTTATGGAGGGAAGGGTTTCTATGGGCTTACAAGTGGGAGATTATTCCATGTTGGTTCTCAACAGAGCAATGAAGGCAGGTGATGAGGGACCACATCACTGAGCAGCCTCAAAGTGTTGAGGGGTGAGAGTCACTGGCCAAGGACAGTCTCCTGCAGGCAGAGTGAGTGGTCCTGGCCATACATTGCCTGGATAAGAATGGTGTCTTATGCTGTCGTTAGTTTCAAGAACAGATGATTGTGGTGGAAGATGAAGCCCAGGGGTTCTGTCACCATCACAAGCCAGGAGAAGCATGGAAGCAGGCAGGCATGGTGGCTGGAGCAACTAGCTGAGAGGAAGAGATCACTGCATCTTAAACCATAAGCAGGAAGCAGAGAGACAAAACTGGAAGTGATTTGAGACCACAGAACTTCAAATCTGGTCCCTAGTGACATATTGACTCCAACAAGGCCACACCTCCTAAACGTCCCCAAACAGCTCTCTCAGAGGGATCTGCACATAATCGATGATCCTATGGAGGTATTCTTCTTTAAGCAGGACAGCTCTCTATCAGTGGTTACTCAGAGACGAGTGGGAACAGAAACCAGTGAAATGAGCTGCAAAGTTTCATATTAAAATCCATTCTGAGCCATGAAGGAGAAAAGACTAAATTTGTGAACTCAAGACAATCTTCTGACTATATACATATTATAAGCCACATCACTAGAATTCCAGAAAAATCCAGATGTGAAGTTAATTGCTGACCATCCCAAAAAAAAGATCTAAAGCTCAGATTCAACTCCTTTCAAACTTTTAAAGCCAAAATTCAGAATAATGTTATACTCTAGATTCTAGAGTTCAGAAGACTCCTGAGTTTCCACACAGGAAATCTTCCTAGAACATTTGAGGGATACATACAACTGGATGAAAATGTTCCCTTATCAATATGTTCTCCCTCTCTCTTCTATATGGTATCTAGTCTAAAAATGTAATAAAATCAATTGCTTATACAGTTTCAAATGATAGGTATTATGACTTTGACAATCATTTATGAACTTTATAGGCAGATTTTTATATAAATTAAAATTTGTTAGCTAGAAGATCAAATAAATTCTACATAAAATTTTAGAGACAATATAGCAAATTCCCCAACATGTACATGTTACTGTACACATACTGCTCTTCTATGGGAAGTTAAAGAAAATTGTCCAGCATGTACATGGGGCAGTGAGAGGCACAGCCCTGAAAAATTTGGTCTCTCCATGACAGCTTTCCTCCTGTGATTTCCTCCTTCCTGTCAGGGTGACTAACTCCTGTATCACCTCTGAGCTTCGTCTTTCTTCTACCACAAGTGTCCATGCATGGAAGTAAGGAAAACATAAGACACCATATTTGTCAAAACAGTGTATGGCTGGGGCCACTCACTCTGCCTCCAGGAGACTCTTGGCCAGTGACTCAACACTTTGAGGCTGTCCCGTGATGTGGTCACTCATTACTTGCTTTCAACATTCTGATGAGAACCGACATCAAATAATCTCTCACCATGTGAGTAAAACTAAAAGCAACCTGACAGGAATCCCAGAGCCATTACTCTGCGAGAAGGAGATTTGGAGGAACAATAATGTACACACACACAGACATATACACAAACACACACACACACACACACAATACATATGTACATCTATACTGTGCATAGTCTGGAATAGTATAAAGAATATGTGAATTAATATTATGTTTATCACAGAATTTCTCAAAAAGGTCTTTATTTTTTAAGCAAATCTGATGGTTATTGAATCCTCATATTTAAAAATTCCAGGGTATACAACCGGCCAGTATAGTGCACCCCTGACCTCTGATTTTTTTAACCTCGTTTTCTAGTTGTTCCACATAGTTAAGCTTCTCAAAATATAACTTAGTGTTTCTATTTTCTAAAACAGAAAAAAATGCAGTTCCCCAAGACAGGAGAAAAAAAAATCCATTCAATTATTCAGAAGGAAGCGCACAGGCACAGTCAATGTTGGCGTTTTGTTCTTACTTAAAGCTCTCAGAGCTAATCCAGTCTGTTGGTGACTGTTCAGTATGAGTTGTGCATATGACATTCATATTTTAAAGACATTTCCTCATATTTTTTGCCTCTTTCAAAAGAACACCTTATCTCCCATTCACTCTAGTATTACAAGAGAAACACCCAGATGTCCTTCAACTGAGGAATGGATTCAAAAAATGTGGTATATTTACACAATGGAGTATTACTCAGCTATTAAAAACAATGAATTCGAGAGGTTCCTAGGTAAATGGATGGAACTAGAAATTATCATCCTGAGTGAAGTAAGCCAATCACAAAAGAACACACATGGTATTCACTCACTGATTATTGGATATTAGCCCAGAACCTTGAAATGCCCAAGATGCAACTCACAGGGCACATGAAGCTCATAAAAAAGGAAGACCAAGTGGGGGTGATTCAGTTCTTCTTAGAAGGAGCAACAAAATACTCAAGGGAGCAAATATGGAGACAAAGTGAGGGACAGAAACTGAAGGAGGGGCCACTTGAAGACCTTTCCACCTGAGTATCCATCCCATGTGCAGTCACCAAAGGTAGATGCTGATGTGGAAGTCAGGAAGTGCATGCCGATAAGGGCCTGATATGGATGTCTCCTCAGAGGCCTTCAAGAGTCTGACATATTCAGAGGCAGACGCTCACAACTAGCCATTTGAACTGATCATGAGGTTCTCAATGGAGGAGTTAGAGTGAGGACTGAAGGAGCTGAAAGGGTTTGTGGCACCATGAGGAGAGCAACAATACCAACCAACCACAGCTCCCAGGGTCCTAACCACCAGCCTGGGAGCACTTATGGAGGGATCCATGGCTTCAGCTGAATACGTAAGAGTGGAGGGCCCTGCCAGGCACAGGTGGAAGATGACATCCTTGACCTCATGAAGGATGGACTCCCCCAGGGGGTGGGAATTTTGAGGGTGGGGAAGTGGGAGTGGGGGGGGTAGGTGGGGGTTACATCCACGGAGAAGAAGGAGGAGGGGTAAGGGGATGGGGGGTTCCCGGGTGGGTGGGGGATGGGGTAAGGGGATAACATATGAAATGTAAATAAAATATCCAATAAAAAAAAAAGAATTCAGACTTGCAGAAAACATCATACAGTTTTACTCAGAACAACAGCTCTGCTCTCCTGCTCATGGCTCTGTCAGCTAACTTTGAAATCACTTCAGCTTCAGAGGAGGAGACAGTACCATATCCACACTATGATTTTCTTATTCTGGACTTACAAACCTCCTTGCAGAAATCAATCTATACAGTTTACATTCCATCACAGCCCAACAAGGATATCAGAAATAAATTGATCAGCGAAGCCAGCTCACCTTGGCAGAGGTTTCAAACCATCCAGTGAAGCCATGGTCTTTACAGAACTGGTCCATCTGGGAAGGACTCTGGCTGCTGTCCTTCTTCTGGTCACATTTGTTAGCTAGCAGGACAGCAGGAATGCGGCTACCGTTGGGAAGATGAACTTTACTATCCAGATCGTTTTTCCATTTTAGAACTGCATCAAATGTGGAACTTCTCGATACGTCAAAGACTATGAATGCTCCAAGAGCTTCCTTGTAGTATACTCGGGTCATGTTTCCAAACCGCTCCTGTCCTAGAGATAAAACAGAAGGAGGTTAAATTTTCATAATGGTGAGGGTCACATTTAAGTGCAGGTACATGCTCCAGGATCCTTAAATCTATTTTGAGAAACAAGCATCTCCCCCCACCCCACCCCCACACACACTGCAGAATAAACTGGTGGGATTAAGAACATTTCACACAGAACCAAGACCCATGGACTTAGCAGAAATGGCTGATAATTTGCTCAGCAGGAGGAACTAGTCCTTTGTAGGACACATTCACCATAAACTTCAGGATGCCAGTATGCAGGCTTCACAGATAGCTGTCTCAGCTTTCTCTTCCATTGGGCTAAGAGGAGATGGCACTTAGGAAAACAGAGAGAAATGGAAGGTGAGACAAGAATAGAATAATCTGAAGTTTAGGGAATGCAGAGAGACGATATGGTAAAAGGCCAGTCAAAAAACATCAGGACTGGACGGGAGGCAGTGTAGCCTGTCCCTTTACATCTTTAGTTCTATCTACCTTTGACCCAGTACCAAAGTTGTTCTCCTCTTAGAAGCAGACAGTGGAAAGCATGTGCTTTGACAAGAAATGGCACAGCCAGTTGTATGGTTGTGAGAAGATTCCGTTGCACAGTTCTTCTGATGCTGGCCTTTGGAAAGAACTTAACTTCTGTTAAACACTGAGCAAATTCTGCTACTCAATAGAGTACCTCTGTCTGCACTTCCAGCCTGGCCTGCAAGGCTTACTGCTGCCAAACAAACTTTTCACATAATGAAGTTACCAGTCTTTATCTCACGAATTACAAGGGACAAAAAGATGCTTAATTCAGATCACAGTGACACTAACTAAAGGAGACAAGCCTTCTGACTCCTTCATGTCTACAGGCTTATGAGTCTAAATTATCTTGCAGTTGCCAAGAGTTCTTAAGCCCACCTTTAGGCTGTCAAATTCCTGACTAGATTCCAAAGGCGGGAATGAATGGCAAGCAGTAAGAATCTAAGATCATCACTGTGATCTAAAAGAAGACAGCACGATAGTATGCTTTCTTGTTAGAACACATGATGAGGAACAAGCTTTATCTTTATTTTATTATATTTTATTTATACATATGCAAAGCTACCTCAAACTGCAAATACTTTTTCTCCAACTTCTATAAGGCCATTACAATTGTAAATGCTGCCTTGTGACTCTTCATAGGTTTAGTCATTTGAATTTCATTATAACAAATGATCATATGTTGGGACCTATCATGTTCAAATTTATTAGTAAGATAAATCTAATTTACTTTATTTGTATAATTCATTAGATCATAATGCTGACATTTAAGGAAACCTAGCCTATATCTTTCTCTGTATACATACATTGAACAATTATGCCAAAATGTTCACTCAGAATATTTTAACAGTCCAAGAGCAAGGACACTAATTCTAAAAGAAAAAAAAAAAGACTAGACAGATGGATTGAAGTTGTTTCAACTTCTACTAGTGAGCCTAAAGAGATTCACTGTTATGAACCTTAATTACTGAACACAAAAGGGCTAGCAGCGAGTATCTAGCCACTCTAAGATAGTCTTAGGTTAAAAAAGATGGAAGGGTTAATGTTTCAGGGTAATAAGATAGTTCTCAGTTTGACCATCCTTTGAATTTCAAAAAGATAAGGTGTGAAAATTAGCAAAAGAATAGATAACTATAGGTTCCAATGAGCTGTTTGAGCTTTCTTGCTTTTTTAGTGAGTCTCCTGAAAAAAACCACAAATAATTTTTGTTAGTCATAACCCATGGTATTAGAACATGTACTCATATGCCCTTTCTGATCACTCATACAAAATCAGAAATGTCTATGGTAAGGAATTTGGGGGGAAGATACATTGGCTTAGAAATGTCAGATAGATTTTCTGAGATGTCAAGACTAGAAGGAAATTCTTCCTGACAAGCCTCACATCACAAACTATCCTTAAAAAATCCTGTATGTAAAATGAAAAGAAAAAGTGTCGGTTAGACAATTAAGCAAATGAAGAGGAGAGGAACTGACTGGGGGACCAGATATCAATCACTTACCTAGTGAAGATCTATATCCAGAGTATGACCAGAAAGAGAACTTTCATGCAAGAAGATAAAGACCCAGCTGACAAAGAGCTCAAAATGTTAGAACAGACATTTACCAGAAGACAGACAATGCTGTCCAGACTGAAGGGCCTGGCTTGGGACCTAATGAGTCTTTGAGTAAGAAAAAGCTGGGTAAGAGAGGAAAACTGTCCTCACTAGTTCTGGGAGGAGAGGCTGAGGAAGTTTTACTTCCTGCAGAGTATGCATGTTCAGGCTTAAAGCTTGCATAGATAGGAAAATTGATCAGAACATATCGGTTAACCAGACTAAAGGGTTTGTTGGAAAAAAAAATTGAGATTCATGTGGAAAGAACCCTATACAACAACTTCTTTGGATAGTGCCAGAAGAGCCATTACTGGTCAAAACTGGGAGACAGGTGGGAGCATCCAGTTAGTCCAGCTCACTTATTTTACTGATGAGAGAACAGAGTCCTAAGTTCTTTGAGTTGATAGTACTACTGTGCCACCTGATCTGTTAACCTAGACTTTGCTGGAATAGTCATTTCTGCTTGTGTCCCATATGCCAGAAGAGATGCTTGTCCGTGTAGATTACAGCAACTTCCTCAGGCGCAGTAGAGTGCTACTTCCGTGTCAACCCCTCTCCCAGGCAATTGTGCTTTATTACAGTAGCAGAGGGAAGATCCCCTGTTGCCGAGCGCACCAGTCACTCTGCAACTAGGGGCAGCCTTTGTCATCCACATTGCTGCTGACATCCTGACAGCACATTTTCAACAACTCTCAAAATGTTTTGTCTCTTAAACAATGTGCTACCGCCTCTGGAGGATGGGATGTGGATTATAATTTAAAAGTTTGGCAAGCATAGAGGATGAGAAGAGCAAGCTCAGAGAGGGTTGTACAGGCTCTGAAGTTATCATCTAAGCTCTCACATATGCAAATGCCAAAATCTTAAAATATATAAGTTGGCAAAGGATTGAACTATTTATCTTGCTATTTGGAGAACTCCACACTAATGACCCTGTAGATGATCGAACAGCAAAACTAGTGTTTTTCCAGGAATAAATATTGCCCATTCGGTTAAAAAAATACACAGAGTCTTTTGCTGTGCCACTTTAAAACAAATGCAAACATTAACAATAAAACAATGAATGTATTTCTATTCAGATGTTCTTAAAAAAATATCATATCAGAAGTCCAATTCACAGAAATGTGTTCTTGGGATTCCCATCATGGCTTTTGCTTGGATTTTTCTCTATATTATATTTGTGCCTCCCTCTTGATGAATCCAAATGTTTCTAGTAATATTAGTTGAAATTCAGAACATAAATTTTATAACCCAAGCCAGAGGCAATAGAATGAAACTATCCTTAGTGTCCTCACTTAGAAGTACTCACCTCTTCTCTATCCGCTGACGGTTAACACGAGTTACCCATTAACTACACAAGGTCACTTGGAAGAAATGTCCAGTTTCTGATTAGTAAATTGAAGGTCTCTTAAAGAAAATCCTTAAATCTCATGGTGCCCTTCAGAGACGGAAATACTGGCAACAGGCAATCTTTGATCATAGATTTTAGGAAAATTATTATCTATGTAAATAAAAATTCTATGCTAATTTGTGTCCAAACTCATAATAGCTTTAAATGATGGCATTGTTCCTAACCCTTTAAATAAATGTTTTCACCAGGAACCAAAAGTGTCCTGTCCCCAGATGTAAATCACTATCCATGTCCATAAACTGTGCTCTAGCAGAGGCTCCTGAGATGGCCACTTAGAGTGAGGATGGCCCGAGGGCCCTTCTATGGAAGCACTGTGAAACCAGGAGAGTGAAGGACATGGCAAGTGTGACCGAGGGAACATGGACACCAAGCAGGCTGTCTGACTCAGTGCTAACCTCCTAAAGAGTAGTGGGAAGGTGGTGTTTTGCCAGGGTGCACCAGAGCTGAGGCTAGAACAATGCTTCTCAACTTTAGTAGAAGTCAGAGTAACCCACAGTGTCTGATGGATAACAACCTTCCAAGTGGTTCGAATTCTGATTTGGCAGGTATGCAGGATTGCTAATTGCTAGCCTCAACTCCCCTTTACAGAATGTTTTGGAGAGAGCTCTATGACCAGTTTAAAACACGAGTCTTATATTTCTTAGCTGTCTTTGCATCTAGACATGCCCATTTTACTGGACCACTGAAACAAATGATACAGCCTTGGAATAGCTGAGCGGTGGAAAGCCAGTTTTTGTCTAGGAAGATTTTATTGTACTGGACATCAGTCCTGGAATGCCCAACCTTAGACTTATGTGTGAAAAAAAATAACTTTTCTACTAAACTGGGTTGGATAGACACATTGGTCAGATAAAGGCAAGTCTACTGTCAGAGAAGATGCTAAAGAATCCATGTATGTTATTGACAGTAGATGTTAAGGCCCCTGTGGTTCTGATGAGAGAGACTCCAGATAATCAGAATAGGAATGCCAACATGTTCAATCACAAGCCATGATAGAGGATGTGGAAGTAAACTATAAAATCCAGTAGGGGAAAAATGGGATGGGAAAGAAGCCAGGCTGTCTATCAGTTAAAATAATAAACAGAAAGCATATATATATGTTATACATATAGCATATATATATAACATATGTGTGTGTGTGTGTGTGTGTGTGTTTTTCTCATTTCTGCCCCAGAAATCAGACTGAAAGAGCCACTCATGCCCGGTTTGCTGAGTCAAAGTGGAAAGGCTCTTGATGAGAACACTTGGAAGGAATTCTAAAATGTTTCCTTGATCTCCAGTTTTGCCATTCAGAAGACATCTCCCATGTTTATATAGAAACTGAGGAAATTCCATTTGGAAAGCCTAAAAAAACAAGTGATTAGCATCCCATACATACAATGGATACAATGTCTCCAAGAATGTATTTGAAAAAAATAACACTTCATGGCTACATAGCTCAACAGGGCTTCATCAGTGAGTGTTTACCAGAGACCAGGCAAATATCTATAATTAATGGTTAATTATTTCAGGGTGTGTTCTTGTAGCCATGTACCAGTGAAATATCTCATCACATTGCAGACATGTCTACAGTTTAGAAAGTCTTTCCAAATGCATTTTAAAAAGAATGAAGCCAATGAAAACCTGTCTATTGTGTAATATCTGAACTTCATAAGCAAAGAAGCACATAACTTTGCAAGCAAATGACTGGCAATGTTGGAATGGAGATAGTAAGAAATGGGAATTAGTACGCCTCTACAATATGAGGTGCTTGCTTTAATTTGGGTTCCTTCAGTATGATGAAAAACACTTTGTTGAGACTTGTACCAGAAAACTACTATGGTCTTTAATTTGAAGGGCTTACAAGAATCTGTTTGGCTGCCTTTATAGAAAGCATTCTGTAATTCTTCCCCATTATACTTCTCAAAGCTTTTTTGATTATAGATTATTTTTATGGCCCTGCCCACCTCTACAACCTCCAGAACAATGGTATTGAAGAGAAACTAGCCAGTGAGTCATACTTCACCTTTTGTTTTGCAACCAGGGAATACTTTTATTCTTTTGGAACTCAGTATAATTCAACCTTGTAAATCACACATGGCATATGCTTAGCCTCCGGGAGTGTTTTGGCATGGTCTTCTTACACAACTTCTCCCTCATTCAAATGGTATGAGCTAAGCAGGATTCACTTGTAACTCCAATGTTCAAATCAAGAATAGTTAAGGCTCCAGTTCTGCAAATTCCAGTCCAAATCCAAGTCATTTGTGCTTCTTGAGCATATTAAGACATCTTGTCCAAGCTTAGACTCTGAGAAAAGCCTGATAGTGTCTAGTTACTTCCTAAGTTTTTCTCTAGTTCTGTTATTTGCTGTAGTTGTGTATTTGCTGAATGCTACCAAAGTTTCTGTTGAAAAGCAACAGTTAATACCAGAGATCCCTTTTGAAGATTATAAAATGTGTCTTTCCTGCCCAGTAAACCTCAGGCTTCAGATTTTGGCAAAAGTGCAACCATGTGTCATTAGGGAAGGCAGATGAGCTATGTCTTCCTCCAGGCTATGGTATCTGTTCAAGAAGGATGACATTGGGGGTGCTGGCTCATTTTTGTAGTTTCAACACTAGGGAAGTTGAGGCAGGAGGATCTAGAGTCGGAGGCCAGTTTAAGCGTCATAGAGAGGAAGCAAAAGTGGGGGAGGGCATGCAAGGAGCAGAAGTGATATACAGAAAGAAAAGGTTTTTCCATTCTTTGTTGTTGTTCAGATTTTTTGAAACAGGGTTTATCCGTGTAGCCCCGGCTGTCCTGGAAGTCATTCTGTAGACCAGGCTGGCCAAGAACTCAGAGATCTGACAGCCCCTGCCTCCTAACTGCTGGGTTTAAAAGCATATGCCACTACCACCCTGAACTCCTGACCTGTTTCCTCAACTCTCCAAACATAATTTAACATAGTTCATGTCCTACTAGTTTGCACATACTAAAAGAAACTGAATTGCCATCCCAAGCAGGGATTCCAAACCATCTCTGTGAAAAAGCTGCACCGGATATCCCTCCTGGTGATTGTCACATGGTAAGGTGACCTTCAGGATGTGAGATGATGTCAAGAAGCAATAGAATGCCCACCAGTGTTCTGGGCAGTAGGACCAAGTGTTGCAAATGAAGCCTCTGGCTTTAAAGGATGAACACTTGAAATACATTCTTAGTTGTTGCAGGGGAAGAAAAGTAAAGAACAAAACAAGCTGAACCCAAGGCAAGATAGCTTTCTGAGAAATCGATACCGATGTGCATAAATGCACATTCTTCTTATTCATGTTAGACTTTGCTCTGAGGCAAACGCGTGTAATGTTTATAAATTCTTCAATACTTCTTCATGTGGAGTGGCTATTAAAGAGCACAGTATTTACTAACTGACAGGCAGAAGTCATGTATCCCTACAGGCTACTGCCAGCTGTAATGGAACCACACCCTCCAGGTGTGGACTTTGGGGTATGTTCGCTGTGGAAAGGATGCTACGGTGTTCTCCAGTTTTAAACAAGCTCTCATTAAAAAGCTTCTTGGCAGACAGAGCTCCTGAACGTTTCCAATGATTGAGCAGGTTAACCTTTGCTACCATGTTTATTAAACTTAACAAAAGTTCACCTTTTGTTGAACCCCCATATGGCACCTATCACACCAGCTAGAACACAGGCGTTCATAAATCCTGGCTCAAAGACAATGGTTCTTACATTCCAGAGCAACAAGTGAAAGTAAAAGAAAACAATTCAGGGTTTGTGGGATAAGGAAGTACCCAAGGAAAGGCATTAACTATTGGCTTAGGGAGGGGAAGGCATAGGGGAAAGTTTCAGAACTTTCCCAGCCCTTCCCCAGGGTCACCAGGCCTCCCAAGTGAGAGGAATTTCAGGAATAGAGTTTCCCTTCACAAAGGCTTGGCTAGGTTCCAAGTTATCTCACCCATAGCTCCAATTTCTCTTTGTAAATTATAAGTTTGTCTGTCACCACAAGGAGGTAAAATTTCTTGGCTCTGGAGAGAGAAAACTCTTACATCAGAGAGGCACAGACCCAAGTCAAATGGGGGGTGAGAGCGAGCGTGGTGTGGTGGAAAAGTAACCTGGCTTTGTTGGTTTTAGTTGTACCACTAACGCAGTGGTTCTCAGCCTTCTTAATGCTGACACCCTTTAATACAGTTCCTCATGTTGTGGTGAATCCTAATCATAAAATTATTTCGTTGCTACTTCCTAACTATAATTTTGCTACTGTTATGAATCCTAACGTAAATATTTGTGTTCTCCAAAGATCTTAGGCTACCCTTGAGATTGGGGTCGGAACCAAAGATTGAGAACCGCTGGAGTAACCGATAGTGGAACTTCAGGCAAGTCCTTTAGCCAGTAAGAAGTTCAGTAGGAGAAGGGGAGCCTCCCAAAGTCGACTTTCCAGGACCCTTTCAGCCCCTCCAGGCGTCCCTCATCTTCCCGATTTGTTTGTCAACTTTTAAAAGAGCAACTGCTGAGAGCTCGGGCAAAGAAAAGGACAGAGAAGAACCAGGAGGCAGAGAGGGATAAGAGTCCGGTGGTACAAGGACGCTGCCCTCTTACCCGCGATGTCCCACAGCTGCAGGCGCACGAGCGTTCTGCTGTCCCAGTTTAAGACTTTGAGGGCGAAGTCTACGCCAATGGTGGCGCGGTAGTGCTGGGAGAAGAGCTGGTGAACGTAGCGCTTGATGATGCTCGTCTTGCCCACACCGAGCTCGCCGATGACCAGCACCTTAAAGAGGTGCTCTCGGGTCTCCGGTGCTCCGGTGACCATTCCGCCCTGTTGCGCGAGTCCCTCGCCCGCCATGGGCGCCACGGCTGTGGGAACTTCTCTCCAAAGCCAACAGGTCAGATCCTCCGTCCTCGCGCCCGGCGGTGCAGTCACGCGAGTCACCGGACCCGGAACCTACTGACTGAGCCCTGGTGGCCCAGTACAATCTGGGTGCTCCCTGCATGGGGCGATCCTGGTTCAGGCACTTCCTCTTTCCGTGCGACCCTGCGCGGTGCACAGCGCCCCCTGCTGGCCTTAGACAAGGGGAGCCTGGAGGTCAGGAGCCCAGGTCCTTGATGTCTAGCAACCAGGGGTGGGGGTCAGATGTCAGAACTTGCAAAGGACTAAGTGTGGGTCCTATGATAAATCTAGTTTAGCTTTAGAGGAAGATGCATGCTGCTTTCCATAATGTCTGGAATTTCCATCATCTGCAATGCTGTGCGAGCATTCACTTTTCTCCACACCTTACTATCTCTAGCTGTTTTGATAATAGCTATCCTAATAAGTGTGAGGTGAAACCAGCATGGAGTTTTGATTGGCAATTCCCTGATGGTTACTGATGTCAAGTTCTTTTGTCATGCACATGTTGGCCATTTTTATATTCTCTTTAGAATAGTGTTCTTTCAGATCATCTTGTCTATTTGATATTTGGGCGTGTTTGTTTGGCGGCCAGCAATGTGAAGTCCTTAATGTTTGGATGCGCAGCTTACTCCCAGTCCGTAGACTTCTTTCTTCATTTTGCTTTGGTGGCCAGAGAAATTTTTAGTTAACGAACATCCATTTGTCTGTTTCGGCTTTAGCGTTGGAGTGGTTTCCAATATCCGTTGCTAAGCTCAGTGCCAACACGTGACTCGGAAATACATACGTTGAAGATATACCCTTAGGAAATGAAATCAGCTTCTCCAGGGAGGTGACTGCACACCTAAATTCATAACAGTATTATTCACAGTAGCCAAGAATCGAAGCGTCAACAAGCAGAAGAATGAAAATTATATTGAGTAAATATATATAAATTTATATTTGCAAATACGTTTGTGTATATACACGGTGGCTTACTATTTGGACTTAACATGGATGCTTATTGTTAGATTTCAGGTGCTTCCCTAGTAGAGGAATCAGTTGTGGCACCCATTCCTACCTCTCTGAAACTCTTGACAGTTCAGGCCCTTCACCAAGCTGCAAAACTAGCAGGCCGGTGCTTCAAGACAGGATAGGACAATAGGTTTAGTTTGCTGTCCAGGCCCAAGGCCACCTGAGCCACTGCATATCCTATTAAATATGCCTCTACAAAACAGCTTAGCTCAGATCTCCATCCTTTAAACGTTTATAAAAGTGAGAGCTATCATGTGTTCTATGGGATACTGTAGGATCTCCTCCATCAGCTTCTCCTGCTGCAAGTGTCACACACACCCCAAGACCCATACATCCACACATGCAACTTGATTTTGTTTCATTTGTATAAGTACCGAGGAGTAGAATTTCTGGATCCTGTAGCATCTCTATTTACATTCTGAGGGAACAGCATCATACTATCCCCATGCCTGTGGGATTGTCATTTGTAAAGATCCAGAATTTCTGACAGAGTCCCAGGTGCTATCAATGCTGGAACCATACTTTGGTTTTGAGTTCAGTCATTTCTGTGTTTGACTCAACCAGAAAGCTTGTTTTCTAAGGAACTCAAACTTTCTGTTTAATCTTTTACAAGAAAACCCCTGGAATCTGGATTTAGCAAACAAAACGTAATGGGCTTGGGGCACATACATGACTTAAAAATGAAGACTTTCATAATTTTAAGTACTATCAGTATTGAACAGTACCTGAATTAGGGATGGT